ACTACTAGGTAATGCTAGAGAGAGAAAACCTACTTCTTTTTCCATGGAATTCGTCACCACCATTAACAATCCCTAACTCTTGATAACAATCTGAAAACTCAGTAAGATCTCCAAGAACGGTTTGTTTCAAGCACACGCCTCCTTGAGTCAATCTCAGAACTCTCGTTATCATGATCTGAACTCAATTGAAGTTGAAGATGTGAGAAATTCGTAGCAAGACTTTGAACACTCAAAACAGAGGAAATTGATTTTCACACAAAATCACACTGAAAAATCTTAACAAAATGATAGGTGTTATGTTTGAATGATGAGAGAAATGATTTATATGTGCTTGAGAAGAAGCACATCAAATGGTTGAAATAAAGTGATTAGATTCAATGAAGAAAAATATGATTTTGAATCAAATGAAAAAAATGAGGTTAAATGCCTCCTGACTCGAATCAAGAACAAAATGTGATTCAAATCAAATAGCCCAGAACTGACATGATTTTTAGGTAAAACAATTTGATTTGGATCAAATTGAAAGTTTGATTTGAATCAAATATAATAGAATTAAACATGATTTTTGAAAATTAGAATTGATTTGAATCATGTACGAAATCTGATTCGAATCAAATTAGACAAATATCTGTTCCCAGGAAATTGATTAGGATCAATTGTAAAATTTTGATGAGGATCAAATTGATGAGTTGAGCTACTGTCCAATTTGATCGGGATAAAAAATTTAGTGTATAACTAAATGATTTGAATCAATCTTGTAAAATATCAAATTTTCAAATTTTCATAAACTTTTTGAGATTTTACCTTGAATCAAAGTTTGTCCAAAAACATAAAGTGATTTCATTTTACTATCATATTATATTAATCCAAGAGCATTTAGATCAAGATCAAATCTAACCAAATTTTTATGCATCCTAAACACGAAAAATACAATCATGAAGGAGACTCAATGAATCAAAATAGTAACACTGATGAAAGCAATAAGACAAGCAACAAAATAACCGGATAATAGAGACATGCAACTACAATCTCCCCTTTTTTTATGCTTGGAAAGCTTTCACTTGGAATTAAGTCGACTTTTGAGTAACATGTGTAACTCCCCTTGAAACATTGCACACAAACAACTCACAGCATAAAAACGCATAAAATAATGTTATACTCATTACAACTTCTCCCCTTTGACAACATCAAAAAGAGATAGTTCAAAATGCGTCTAAAAACCAAAGAAAACAGCCACTAACATATAATTCAAAATGACATATGAGCTAAACAACTAAGAAGCATATACAACAACCATGATCACATATTCAACGAAGATAAACATATCACAAGAAACATAGCACAAATAGACATGTAAGACAAACGTTCAACAACTAACAATTATGTGATCAAACTTGTAAATCAAGGTATGCATTAACAATCATAAATAATGGATGAACAAGTAATCAAACATTCTAATGCACGTAACTGTTTCGGAGTTGACCTAGAGGCTGCGATAATAGAGATGGAGAGAATCATAGGGGCTCATGCTATGTTTGAATTCCTGAAAAAGGTATATACGAAATAGCTCCTTAGAGCACCGCAGGTTAAAGGTGATGACGAGCAAGTGGGGCTTCATAAAACGGACGCTATGAGAGCATACCTATTATATTTGGTTGGCACTACAATTTTTATGGACAAGAGTGACACTTATATAGATGTCGTCGACCTACGGTACTTCAAGGACTTCAAGTGGATCCATGAGTAAAATTGGGGGCCGTTTGTTTGGTCTACTTGGACTCAAAGTTATCATAGGGTTGCGAGTGAAAGACGAAGCAGGACATAGGCAACATCACAGTATTGACAGTAATTTTATTGATCTTTTAATGTTTCTGTGTCATTTTTATTTCATCTTTGCAACACCATTATTGATGATTCATGTGTTCCAACATTTTTCATGCTTGGATCCTCTAGCACTTCTCGCGCATCTCCGGCTGGGCGGGTGTACCGACTTACATTGAAGATATGTCACGTGCTTCTGCATTTTTCCCGCTCAGAGGGAACCAGGCGACAGAGTCATTTAAAGTGTATCTTGACTGTTTGGTTGCCGTGGACATGCACTTCAACAACTATGTTGATCTCCGTGAGATGCGGTCATTTGACGACATAGTGTTATACTCTGAATGGTTGGCTTGCGGATCACGTCTCACTACTCCTCATTTGCCTGAGCATTTGATGCGGAAGTTCGAGTACACTCAGACTATTCCATACACCCTGTTGCCTCTACTCCTCCTACTTGTACACATATACAGATAGATGCCCTGTTTGATGATTACGAAAGTCATCTGGTACTGGAGGAGGCATGGGGTATCATAGTTGTGAATGGCTAGAGCTACGTTGACGAATACATCAAGTGGTTCTTCAGGATGTCACATTCGTATATGGTTCAGACTGCCCCAGAAGATCCACTGAGATCAGCTCATCAGGAGATACATGGGGAGGAGCAGACACAGTTAGATCATGCTCATGATGTCTTGCCTAGATGTCGTCGCATAGTAAAGATTGCACAGGCAGACATTCAGAGGTATCTTCCCTAATGGTTCTAATGTGAGACAAGTCCTAAATGCCATCATGACAGGGGCACGAGAGGCATTGATGTATCAGAGACAACGCCGGAGGACGGAGGTATTGAAGGCCGAGGAGCCCAGGGAGTCCGAGGAGCAATAGTGCAGTAGTATATAGTAATTATAATTTGGATTCATTATGGATTGTATTTTATTTTCAATTCATGCTACTTTATCATGTATTTCGACTTTATTTATATATGTCATTTTTAGACCATCTGGATTTATATATGTCATTTATTGCATATCGATTGTATAGTTTAAATCTCGTCACATAACATGGTACATAACGTTTATAAATTTCCATTTGAATAAACATAAACAAAACATAGTTTGCATTGTTCTAATAAGGTACAAAGATGTATCTCCATAAAATAAACGATGATGCATCTCCGAAACAATAAACGTGTAAAATGTCATTCAGAGTGGGATGCATGGTGCATGTTTTAAAATATTACGAAGACGGATCTCCGGATCAAGAAACATTTTGATTTAAGACAATGTGCATCTGGAGATGTATCTCCAAAAATCTGAGGGGTATTTTAGATTTTTTAGAGGATGTTTTTTCACCCCATAAAGTGGGATGAAAATTTCCCTAAAATTAGTTCACTTGCATACTGAATCAAATTGTTTTAAATATATTTGAGTCATATAGTTTTTTGATACCATAGTTTCACAAGAAAGGAAAAAACAAAATCACAATCAAATATGAGCCACAAGGCTCTTAGTAGTGTCTTTCAAAAGGTGATTGTGAATAACAATCGAAGGGACGATCTAAGTTGTGTATTTATCATTGTTAGCCGTATTTAGAGTTACGGATGTTCAAATTTAAATCGATTTAAATAAAAATTATAAATTAAGTTTAAAAAATAAAAAAATTGTTGAATATATTTAAATGTGATTTTATAAAAATCGCTCGGTTTAAATCAGATTTCGGATTGACTAATCAAAACCAATTTAAACCAAATCGAATTGTATAAATATATTTTTTATATTTTTTTTATTGAAATATATGTTGTGTTAATTTAATATGAAATGATACTTATTTTTTTAAATATTATTTATTAGTTTGATTTAATTTATTTATTTTTATTATTATCATTTTGTAATATTAGTTTTTGATATAGTATATTATATATTATATTAAACTTATTAGTTATTAGTACTTTTAGAATATTAATAAAAGTTATAATTTGTAATTTGAATATTTAAAAAATCGATTCAAATTAAATCGAATGAAATTGGATTGGATCGGATTGAATTTTTTTAACCGAACATTAAAAAACGAACCAAACCACAAATAAGTTTACCTTTAAATCAAATGATAGTTTCCTTCAAAACCGATCCAAACCCAAATGATAGTTTCCTTCAAAATAGATCCAAACCCAACCGCGAACACCCTTTACCTAGCGCTAATCATGATACGGTTTAATAATAAAGTTGAATTAAACTGAACCAAATCATGCTAAACATCTATTCAAACTGAACCATTTTAATTAATTGTGAACCGAACCAAAGCAAAATTATTGTTTTAGTATACCATTTTTAAATGTCTAACTACCCAGCCTTTTTTTCTAAGCCAAACTATTTATTAAAGAAGCAAACCGATAAAGTGTTCTTCGAATTTTTAAAAAGAAAATTTAAAATTTGTTTCTATTATGTTTCATTTTCAATTCGATTTAGTTTCCATTTACTGAGTATATGGTTCCAATTTTAAAACTGTTTATGTAATATGATTTGTTTCACAAACAAAACATAAAGGTTTGATTATTTTAATTTCAATTTGATTCAATTCAATTTATGATTTTTTTTAACATCTCTAATTATACCCATCTTAGCTGAAAAGTTTGAAAATTTCAAAATATATGGTTTATTTTTTAAAACTTCAATTTTTTTAATAAAAGGGTTATTTTGTTTCAATTTCCCAAAATGCAAGGGTGTCAAGGATAACTTCTAAAGTGTTCTGCATAAAACTCCATTATTTATTTATATTTATGTATTAAATTTAAAATAAATCTTAATATTTATACATCAACAACTTTTATTAAAACAAATAATATGTCATTTTGACCCTTATTATTCTTATAAGAAAAAAATATATTTAAAGTAAATTTATACTAATCATTTTTCAATTACTTCAACCCCCCTAATTTCCCAAACACTTCAAATTCAATCTATTAACTTATTAAGTATTGATCAGTTTATCTTTTTTATTTGTTATAAACTACTAATCAATTAAATTAACTTATCAATAATCACTACTTTTTACTAAACATTGTCTCTAGATAGAAATGTGCAATTTATTATTTCAGAAGAAAAGCAATCAATTTGATATTAACAGAAATCCATTGATAGGAGCAAAAAAAATACTAAACAAACTTCAAAATTCAAATTAAGTTAATAACCAACATAAACAGCAGCATTCACAATGTAGCAATCCTCATTCTTGTCACCCATCTCTTCCACAAGCACCCCACTTGAGCATATCAAACCACCGTCCACAACTTCAACTTTCAAAATTTTCCCACTGCAATGTTACGTTATGACCTTAACTTAACTTTCGAAGGGAAAAAAAAACACTGATAAAATACGATTTCACAGATGCTACGAGAGTACTCACTAGGGAAATACAGACTTGACTTTGTCGATATCCAGAGATTGCTGGAGAGAATGAGGAACCCCTAACTTGATCTGCAATTTCATCTCACCGAAACTGACACCAGGAATGGAACCTAAACCAATTTCATCTCATTAGAATAGGGGAAAATGCAAGCTTCGGTTATATTTCAAATAAACTAAGTGCAAGTAACATTTTTTCATTTCTTAAAATCTCACGTAACAAAATATCACAGGAAGATAAAAACATGTCTTCAACTCGTAGAATAAACAGTTGTACAGAACTTCACACACAAGTTACTTGGTGGAAAGAAGAGAACAATTCAAGAAACAGATTAAAGCTAGCTTACCTGAGCTAAGATGTAAATAAGTACTTATGTAGACTTATTTATGTTTTAGGAAATTGACATTCCAAAGAAACTACCTGGACCGAGAAATTTTAGCGCAAGACAGTATTACAACATCTACAGTCCAACCGGAAGGTCAGAATCGAGATCCTATCCATGATCAGAATAAGGTCACAATCATAAATTAGATGGTTGTAACACGGATCATAAGATCTTACCGCAACTATTAAAATATATTTTAATTTAAAAATATTGTGTTCATTTTTAGATATTAATATAAATTTAATTAAAAAAATTGTATACATATTTATTTTATAATTTTTTTATTGAAATTTATTTTATGTTTAAATAGTGAGACTAAATGTATGGAAAAAATAAAAGATTGAATAGGTGATATGAGACAAAAAAACAAGACCACTGTAAAACTTATTAGAAAGGAGAGCAAATGATTAACAGATGAAGGGTTGAGAGGGTCTTACATTTGTGAACATTTGGTGCCCTCCATGGGGCAACGCTAAAACTTTGGAATGACCTATCTTCATTTTCAACCAACTGACTAACATCGTACGACATATCATAGACTAAAACAAACCTCGTTTGGTTCTGTGCTAACAAGGACTTCAACCCACATCTAGCTCAGTTGCTAGAGGAAGTACAAGACCTCCCAGAGAAAAATATGGAGCAACAACAGAAAGGAACAGCAGGACCAACGAGAAGAAGCTCAAATCTAAGAGGCTGAGCTGAGACATCAGTCGGAAGAACGAGACCGAGGAGTAACTATTCCTCGTCATTTTTGAGCCCACTATTGACTCTTATGACAGGATGAGTGATCCCAAGAATCATTTCTCGGCATTTAGACACAGATGATGATAAGAGGAGTAGATAATGCCTTGTGCTACAAAAAATTTGTTCCTACTTTGAAGGATGTAGCTAGTGTTATCAAATAGCGGCACAACGGCCGCTATGGTGGATATACATGGCGGTTTTTGGGCTCGCTGCAGTGGTAAATATCAGCTGATATTGCAGGTTTTTCGACTATAACTGCGACGCAAAGCAGTTGGTATGGCGGGATTTTGGTCTCTGCCATGAACCATCATCGACAACACTGAATGTAGCTCATAAGTGGATAGCAGGGTTGCCGTCCAATTTGAGGCAAACAGCAAGAAGCCTTTCTTGGTAGCTGATTTATTTGATGTCCGACAACGCTCCACCTAGTCTCTCAAGAGTTATCTGGAGTGATTCAATAGCGCCACCCTTAAAGTAGCACAGCCAAACAAATCTATCTTTGTCGTGATCTTTGAAAAAGGTTTGAGCTCTGGGACTTCCAGTGAAACTATAACATTGCGCAAGGCGAGCCCCATGGATGAGATCCACATGATGGTCGAGAAGCAACTTGAGGGCGAAGAGATCACTCGAGAGAAGATGTCTAAGGAGATGCCAAACAAGGAGTAAAAAAATGAGGACCGAAGAGAAAGTGTGATGAAAAGATTAGGAAAAGAATGAGTGCCATGAAATACTTGGCCATAGCGAGAAGAAGGCGGACCAGGTCATGAGATGCCACCTAGGAGAAATCCCTGGGAAGAAAATTGCATCCCTTTAAACAAAAGGAGGGTCAGAAATCTAAAGGAGATGATGGATATAGTCTTCAAAAATGAGATATGAAGAATAATTGAGGTGTATGAGATGGTGTGGTGGTCAAGTCGGATAGAGAAAAAGGACCAATAAGAATGGTGTTCGATCTATTAAGAAAACACAAGATTAAGTTGAACCCGGAAAAAATATTTGTTGAAAGTGTAGGCAAGAAAGTTCTTGGTTTTCATGATAAAAATGAAAGCTGTAGAAGATTGAGAAGGTAGCTTTAGCCCTAACTTTGTCAATCTAGAATTGTCGTCTGAACTGACTTACCCACCAAACAAGTGCTGAAAAACCAGACCAGCCCAAGAGGATGGTGACTTAGTTGAAGAAATTATCTGAGTTCGACATAGTATTCTTGTCAAGGAAATATTAGTCACAGTTAAATCTTGTCAAAGCCCTATTTGTATTGCCATTGGACTTTACCATTAAAAACTACCCTTAATTTTAAGAGATTAACAAAAAGAGAAAAGTGAAAACCCAAACAAGATAATCACCTCTGCGAAAAGCGGGGATTGAATTAGAAGAAATAGCATCCCTGCACGCTCTCATTGCTGCAGAAGTTATATTCTGCCTGTAAAAAAAAAACTCATCTCAGCAAAACCGATAGGAAACAGGCAAAACAACCAAAAAGCAAAGGCGAAATCGAAAAGACAGTGAAACATGAATGATTCCGAACCCGTGTTGATCGTAGCCGACACCCATCTCTACAAACAAGAGTTTCATCGGTTGGGATGAATCCGAAGATCCTTCACTTTGTTGAACTTCCATGTGCGCGGTTGTAGCTTTGGTTTTGTGAGATATTTGACAGGGTTGAAAGTTTGATAATCGATGGTGTGAGAAAGAAAGTGATTTGAGGGGGAAACTGTTTTCGGAGCGATCAGTTATGAGTGAAATTTGTTTGGTAAAACATGGAATTTGAAGATTTAGAAGAGAACAACATTCAGTCATTTCCCCAGAGTCTCTTTCTGTGTCACCTCATTACAAAACCTCTTGTGATTTAAGACTTATTATTATTATTATTATTATTATTATTATTATTATTATTATTATTGTTATTATTATGTTCTTGTTGTTGTTGTTGATGATTAAATATGTATTTTATAGTTGTACAATGAGATTCAATTTGATGGACATTTTGGTTATAAGTGATTTAGGGGCACGTTTGGATTGACAATCAGATGGGGTGAAATGAAATTGAGTGGTAAATATTGAGATTTTATTTTTTGGATTTGTAAAAAATAGATGAAGGAATGAAATATAATGGAATCTGTTTTATCATTTTCTATTCAATCTTTTCATTTTTATTTCTTTTGATTGTAAGTGTATGCAATTGAATGAACTAATTTATTTTGTTCCACTATGTTAAATTATGAAAATAAATAAACAATGAAATGGAATTTATATTTATTTCACATCATTCTACGCCATTTCATCATATTTTATCCTACTATGCTCCTTTCTATTCTATCAGTCTAAACATATAATATAAAAAACTCACTATTTTAACCCTTTTTAAAATATCCATTGAAGAGGTCATCGTCTCATCTCTAGAAGTTAAACCAACAATTTTTAAAATGAGTGAACTCTTTATCAAGAGATTTAATTTTTAATGGCTATATTAAAATTAATTTTCTAATATAATATTAATTTTATTTTCTTTAATACTCCTAAAGAGAAATAAATAGTACAATGATTAATTTTAAAATAAATCAATTTTACATAAACAAAAACAAAAACAAAATAATAAAGATTAAAAATAAAATAATACATAAATCATCGTAAATCGTGTAGTAAGTCTGATTCATCTAAAACTTAAACCCAAGTTGGATGGTTTGTTCTTGAACGTAACTCATGACTTATCTCCGAAGTTATAAAGGTGCACTCACACATTCATTTAGTTGCTCAAAGTCACCAAAAACACGCCCACAATTGAGGGAGTGTGCGAGTTATCTAAAGTGGAACAACACACACTCTCTTAAGAAGCAAAACAAATAATAATGGTAATAGGCTACATATAGAAGTATATCTGAAGATATCAATCAGTCACATTTTCTAACTAAAGACTAAATACTTTACCAAAAACATATAGTGTTCATCATGGGGTCGTGATAAAGTCATTTTATGACACAACATAAAACACTGAGAAAATGGTGTGAGCCCAACCTCCCTCAAAGGAGAATGATGATATTCTGCATTTTAGGCCATTATAAAATAGTTATAACATATGAATGAAGATTTACAAATGCAAGTTAAATCAATTTAGCAAGTGAAAGATAAGGATGGAGATTCAAGAGGATAATTATATGATCTTTAGCTCTTATGTCCATAAATTTAGGATGCTCTGATCCTAAATAATTCCAATTCATTCTATATGGTGAGTTTTGATGAAAAACAAGATCCATAAGAGTTGGGTAGTTGCCAACACTCGTATCGTCACAAGTTTGACCCCACGGTAATTGAAGTTGAGGTCTTTAATTTAGATTTTAGGATGATCTTGATTAACCTTGGTTGTTAAGCTGATATCTTGTACTATAAAGCACTTGAAGAGAAACAAAGCTCACTCAAGTAACTCAAATCATACAGAGGCACTTTAGTTGGATTATCGGGTGAGCAAGCCCAAGTAAAAGGATGTTTTTCCTTCAACACGAATTTCTACATCTGCGTAAATGCCAAGACAATTATTGTTCTTTATTTTGTGGTATGTTATTTGCTTTCATCTTACAACATCATTATAGGTCAACTTGCCTTCAACACTTTATGACTTAAACTTAAAATATCATTTTGACAACAAAAAGGTGGGAGTTGTTAAAGAAAACCAATTTTTCAACAGAAAATTTTACTATGAATAATTGCGGGTCACACAAGGAATGAACAAAAGTATACCTTCATTCAATATGGACTTCTGTAATGTGAAATTTGTGCAAAACATAGTCGATTAGGACCCTAGAGAAAAATTTATCTAGAAAAGAGTTTTCCTAATAGAAGACTTAAAAGAGTTTCAAATTAGAAGACACTCAGATCATATCATTAAGCTCAACACCTTATTTGTAGCCAAGAAGGAAGAATAAGCAGTGTTGTTATTGTGAAAAAATGGGGGATATTTTTGTCATATAAGAATGTGTGGCGTTAGAGAAGGTGTGATAAGTCATAATTTAACGTTTTATCCCTTATTCAAACCAAATTCACTAAGAGTCGCAATGGAGAAGAGAACAAGAAACTAGTGAAGAAAAGGTGAAAAAACTAAAAGACATTAACTTCATTAACAAAATCAAATGTCCCACCTGATTGACAAATGTAATGATGATAAAGAAGTCTAACGACAAATGGATAATTATTTGTGGAGTTCATTGCCTTGAACACACCATGTCTATAGAACCTTATTCTTTTATCGAACATATATAGGTTGATTGGTATAACCTAATTCTACAAGACTTTAAGTTTTATCGATGCATACTCAAGATATAATCAAATCATGATAGATTTCCCATATGCGCCTATAATATTATTTATGACAAACACCTACGAATATTACTACGAGGAAATTCTCTTTGGTCTCACGAACATTTATGCAACACATTAGCACTTAATGAACATAATCTTTCCAAATAGATATGAAAGAATTTGAAAGCCTACATTGATAACATGGTAGTTAAAACAAAATAAGGGGATCTCGTTGTTAAGACTTATAAGGTGTTTTAAGTTCAATAAGGAAATCCAACACGTGCTCTTTTGAAGTCCAAGATGAAAAATATATATGTTTCATGTTAATAAACAAAGGGATTGAAGTAAACCCGAACCAGTTTCATAAAATCATAGACATGATAATCCCCACAAGCATAAAATAGGGTTAGAATTAAATAGGAAGAATAGTGGCAGTGTCAAGGTATATATCTTATTCAAGATGATAAACTTTCCACTTCTTTGCATGCTTAAGAAAAGTAGAAAGATTTGCATTGACTCTAGAATATGAGGAAAATTTTATGAACTTGAAAAATATTTATATCCCCACGACCAATTTTAACTTAACCTAAATAAGATGTCCCTTTGTATCTTTACTTATCAGTAACATATTCCAAGGTTCACAGACATTTATCATGCACTAGCTAAGTTCTTGCATTAAGTATCATCACCATAACCTTTCTACATGTGGCATCTAACCAAGCTTAAAAACCTTTGAATCCATCAAGAGGCTCACATGTTCTTATCTAAATCATGATAAAGAATTTAGGAAAATGTCACTATCCTTACCACAATAATAAAAACTATACCACAATAATAGTAACTAGAGGACACTACAAGCACTAGAAAATCCAAGAGCGTCTATAAAAAAGGCATTCCTATTATTGGTCATATCATGCCTTTTTTCATGAGAATGACACCTCTTATAGAAGGAAAAATCGTTAAGGAAGGTTTTACAACCCCTGTCTCATGAAAATCAAGCTCAATAATAATTATCATTTTTGCTAGGATAAAACAAACCAATAAAATTAAAGGATATATGAACACCAAACTAAAAGGAAGAAAATAATATATTATTGAACCCATGTTGGTTTGAATAAATATACTCTTTAACTTGGTTTGATGATAATATAGTGTATGAGATTTTTTTTTCTGTTTAACGTTTGTTATACGTGTAAAAAAGTTTTAAATATATTCAACAAAATCTATCCTTTAGAAAGAGTAAGATAGTTCTGCTTTACCTGTGATCACTTGATATAAAGATGAATCTAAAATATATCATCTTACACTTTGATCATCTTGATATTAATGCGTCTTTATAGGGATCATTTTGGTGTGTATCATTAAGATTCGCAACATCTTTATAGGGATCATTTTGGTGTGTATCATTAAGATTCGCAATGTTACTTGCTGGTACATGTTTGAAACACTATTATTTAGACATGAATACTCAAGTAATCATCTATTTCTCTCTTAAAGTTACAATTTCAAATTTGAGAGACAATTAAGCAATAGTACACAAGGTACAAAACTACAATTTTGTGGACAACAATATCTATTGCGAGTACAAGGGCATGAAAATAGCATGATGCAAAAGAACAAAGGTTACAACGACTCCTTTATCAAAGATTATATCATGCAACAATCATTTAGAAGGAAGTTATATAAAGTATCAACTTCTAATTGTTTTATTAACCTAATTAAAAACCACTTTGAATATTTGAATAAACATTTGAGAATCAACTTGACAAAAGAAAACAAATTTTAAAGAAAGAACGTCTATAAATAAGTTACACTCAAAGAAAGAAAGAAAGAAGGCATAAGTGATTTCATTTCTTACATAAGATTTAAAAAATTGTATTTGAGTTAAATTTATTTATTTATTTGATTGTATTTGCTCAAAAAGCTAAGTTGTAACCAGATTCTTTGAGAAGACAAAAATATCTAGTGGAAATCATTTCTTTGTATAAGATAAATATAATACATAGATCACTTGTAATATGAGATATCTCAATAATATTGTAATATGTTAGATTATTGTAAAAATATCTCAAGCGTAGGGAGAGTGGATACAACTCAAAGTTTTAGGGTGAATAGGATATATTCATTAAGTCAAACTCTCCCCTTATCTATTTACATTCATCGTATATGCTTGACTTGTGTTTTGTTTTAAACAAACAAGAAAAAAATTATAATCTTTAACACAATTCAAATATCTTCTTTATTGTGTTTTTCTCACCTTCAATTGTCATCAGAGCTTCGATCTCTTATTTGAACACTTAATCGCGCAAGAGTAAAATATATTCTCAAAAAAATAATTGGAACTTCAAATAGTAATGTTGGAAAAGCTTGTAATTTTAATCAATAAAATCTCATATGTTTAATGGAGAAAGATTTGACCATTGAAAAGATAAAGTTTATAAATTTTTTCATTTCTCATGATTTGAAACAATGGAGTTTAGTTTTGAAAGAATACATGCATCCTAAAG